ATATTATATATATATAAAAATTCCCCCACAGGGAATAACTCAGCAGGATGTGGGTTTCCACTTGGAAAGGGCAGAAGGGGAATGAGCTCTAGAATGCATGCATAGGTGGCTTTAGTTTATCTGAAATGTTTTATTTCTCTTCTATGGGTAATGAGTACATGGATATTTATATGTGGATATAAATATCCATATATGGATATTTATATGTGGATATAAATATCCATATATGGATAACTTTTTGTACCTGAAAATTTTTTGTTTCTGCCCTATAAATGGACAGAGTTGCCCCTTTCCTTCGTAATTAAAAGAGAAGTCCATCAGAACTTTGCTAAAACTACAAACATGCTAGGTGAATGTTTAACACTACTGCACACAGTAGACCTGCAGCAAATATTTGATAAGTGAGCACATGAGTATCAAATCCACAATATGCAGATTGATGGGCGAATGCATCGCATGCTGGTTTCATGCCAAGTGCTGAGCCTAGCACTTACTCGCCTTGTTTTCATTAATCCTTACAACAACCCTTCAAGATTGATGCTGTTATGATTATTCCCGCTTTATAGAAACTAAGACTGAGGCAGGAGAGTCAGCCCAGAGAATCAGGTAAGCAGCAGAGTGAAGAGTTGAGTTATCTCACGCACACGCAAGTAGCATGTCCCTGTCTGAGAAATTTATGGCTACCACCTGGAAACCAGCTATCACCTGGAAACTTGAATCCCTGGAAAGAAAGAATCAGTCCTTTTGGCTGAGAATTTCTTATAAGATTATTTCCTCCCCAGGACTGAGAACTCTGCTATGATGTCTACTAACAGATTCCTGTGCCTCCTTCCCTGCACTGGCAAACCCCTCAAAGACCAATTTGCAGGCAGTTGACTCAGAAGCATCTAGATCGTCTCAAGCAGTGGGATTCCTGCAGGCACTCCACAATAAAGTAAATTGGGCCACTGTGAGCTGAACAGTAATTGTACGCTCAGCCAGATTCTCCCAAGGCTCAGACTCCTTCCTGGGACCACAAAGGGCACTTCTGGAGGCCACGTTAACTCTTTCAGGCCACTGGGGTGCTGTTTGATGCACAGAGGCAATCATTTACAGAATGGTACCACGGAGACCCCAAAGAGTTAAGGCAGTTTCCAAAAGGACCTAATTTTTTCCCAAACTGGGACTTACATGCTGAGAGAATATTGCTCAATATTTTTAAAATTTTTTATTTACTCACATTATCTAAGCTGCACCATCATGCCTTGTGGCTGTCTCTCACACAGAAGAAAGAGAAAGGAAAATGATGCTGTGGTCTCCAAAGGAAAATGAGGAATCATAAAAGCTCTTGAGGGGATGGGAGAAAAATCCAGCTTCGGAATGACAGAACCCGGCTGGTTTTCAAGGATGGCTGCAAGGTTACTATGTCCTCATTAC